GAAAGTGGCATCTGGGTGGCCCAGTCGGTTAAGTGTCTCCCTTAGGCTCAGGTCATGATCCCAGTGTCACGGGATCAAGCCCCACCTCTGGCTCCCTGCTCAGCAGGGAGTCTGCTTTTGCCTTTCCCTCCTGCTCCTGAGTGCTCTCTCTCTCTCAAATAAATAAATACTCTTTAAAAAATTCCAGGAAACTATTTATCGATGTAATATAAATATCAAAGAATATGCAGGCCTTGTAACAAACAACAATTCGGATAAATTACAAAATTAATAAAAAGCAGTACCAAAATATAGATCAAAGGAGGATAAGAAAATATCAGGAACGTGCCATTTCTCCATACCGGGAACATATTTATTTTGAACCACTGTCTCTTAAGCCATGAAATGGCTGGTTCATAAGTAGATTTAGAACAATGTCCTATTGATGAGCCCATGCCAAAGTACCTTTCTTCTCACCATCCTGTTAAGAGCCCCCTGGTTAGAAAAGCCTTTGGCAAACCTCTGGATTTCAGACAACTAGCTGTTTCTTTTGAGAGCAGTATGAAGGTTCCCTTCTGCAGAAGCGACAATTCTCTTCTGCAACAAAATCTCCCTTCTGTGATTTTTTCCTTCTGAAACAGACGGGGCTCTGTGCTTCTCTCTGTAGAAAGTATCTGGAGTCATTCCCCCTCTCCTCCTCTCCAATTCTTAGCTGGAAAAAAAAAGAGCCCATGAGCTGTCCCTTTCATGCTCTAGGACGGTGGTGTGGTGAGTCGGCTTCGGATTAATTCAATTCAACACCTCAAGCAGAATGTGTCAAACATCTTTTTTCCCCCATGGATCTGATTTTATTTTAATAATAGGATCAACACATGTTCTATACAAAGGTAACCATTAACTAATTATAAACAAATAATTTCATCACATACTCCCAGTCCATTTTGCATCTCTTGCCAGATACGAAACATTTACTTTCATACATTTACAGCGATAATTTGCATAAAACCACTGAACATGAGGATATTTTCAAAGCCGCTGCTTATGTGATGTGATCAGCAAAATCTCCCCCACCCCGCCAATCCCCACCCACACACACTATTAGTCATTCCTTTGAGTTAATACATTGAAGGCCTTTGTTAAAATTAAAACATTATCTACTAATAAAGAGACAAATGGAGCTATTAACATTTTGCTCAAATTAGTTGACTGAAATCCTTAATTAGTAAGGTCTTTTGTGAAACGGACCCAGAAGCGGTTTTAAGTTTTGTTGAGGGAAAGGAAAGATCCTGAATATGGGCTGGTATCTGGGGAGGGAAGGTGGGGTTCCAGCACTCTGCACGGGACTCTGGCCAGGGACGAGCTTGAAAGCACTGGAAACTCAGGTGGAGGATAGGGATGCCTGGATGGCTCAGTTGGTTGAGTGTCTGCCTTCGGCTCAGGTCATGATCCCAGAGTTCTAGGATGGAGTCTCCCTGCTCAGTGGGGAGTCTGCTTCTGCCTCTGCCTGCCTCTCTCTCTCTCTCTCTGATAAATAAAATCTTTTTTAAAAACTCAGGTGGAGGGGAGACTGCTAAAAAGTGAAGGAGAGGGTGGTTTCTGAAGGACGGTAAAGGCCTTTAAAAGCAAATGTCCTCTAAAGGACTGTACGGCCAAGAGCTAGTGAGCTTGGCTCGGGTGTCTGTGACCAAAGTGGTCACTTCTTCATGTTTTAGAAAATTCTTCAGCTCTCTGCAGAGATCATATCCAGTGAGGTTAAAGAATTCTAAGGGATCAATTGACTTCTGACTCAACTTGGTTTTTTTTTTTTGAGACATAACTTAAAACAATGTTTAACTACAAAAGAAATTCTCATTGCAGTATATTCAAACAGTTATAAAATATATAGACTCAAACCCAAAAAATCCTCTCAATACCCACCATAATTCCAGGCTCCCACTATTTTTTGATGTGCTCCCACATTCTTTTCTGTGCATTTACATAGGTCAATGGTTGAACAACACAGAGGTTAGAGGTCCAGACCCCTGTGCACTTGAAAATCCATGTATAAATTCTGACTCCCCAAAAATGTAACTAATAGCCTACCATTGACCAGAAGTCTTACTGATAACACAGTTGATTAACATGTATTTTGTGTGTTATATGCATTATATACCATATTTCTTGTTTTTGTTCTACATTTTTATTAAGTTTTTCTTTTAATTCCAGTATAGTTAACAAACAGTGTTATATTAGTTTCAGGTGTACAATAAAGCTGGATTTCTTAAAGAGTATTTATTTGAGAGATAAGAGCACTAGTGGAGGTGGGAGGAGCAGAGGGAAAGGGAAAGAATCTCAAGCAGACTCCCCACTGAGCACAGAGCCCAGTCATGGGGCTCGATCTCATGATGCTGAGATCATGACCCAAGCAGAAATCAAGAGCCTGACACTCAACCAACTGAGCCACCCAGGCACTCTGACAATATAGCTGTATTCTTAGAGTAAGCTAGAGAAAAGAAAATGTAATTAAGGAAATCATGAGGAAAATATGTTACAGTACTGTACTATAAAAAATATCTGTGCATAAGGGGACCCACGTGGTTCAAGGTCAACTGTTTATTTCTTTTCTTACACAAATACAATGATCTCTACCTGTTCTGTATACGTCCTTGTTCCTTTAATTTAAAAAATTTTATTATGGTAAAATAGACATCGCATCAAATTTGCCATTCTAACCATTTTTGAGTGGCAATCAGTATATTCACAAGGTTGCCTAAGTCCCACCACTATCTAGTTCTAGCACTTTGTCATCATTCCAAACAGAAACTCTGTAGCCACTGAACAGTTAACCCCTTATTCTCCCCTCCCTTCAGTCCCTGGTATCCTCTGTTCTATTTTCTGTCTCTATGCTCCTTGTTCTTTTAAAATTGTTTTTGAAATGTAATACAGGGACATTATTAAAAATGCAAACAGTACAGAAGGGTGTATACGATGTTAAATACTTCCTCCTATGCTTGACCCTCAGGCAACTAACGTAATCAGCTTTTCACAGTTGTAGCAAACCACACACCACTTGCTGTTTTCATTTAACAACCCTTGAGAGAGATAGGTATAAGACACATATATAATTTGTCTTTATTCACTTCTCTGTTATGCTAAGATCAGTTTCCTTCTGACTCAGCTTTTGAAAAATTAATTTTTTTCTTGTGGCAAAAAACCGCATGACATAAAATTCACCCTCTCCACTGTTTCTTAGTGTACAGTGCAATACTGTCAGCCACGTGCACATTGTTGTGCAATGGATTCCCCGGAAATCTACCCCCATCCCGCTCCACCACACATACACCCCAGTCCTACATGATGGAAACTCCACATCCATAGAACAACACCTCCCCACTGCACCCACCATTTGACTTTCTGTGTCTATGAGTTCGACTATTTTAGATACCTCCTATAAGTGGAATCATGCAGTATTTGTCCTCCTGTGACTGGCTTGTTTCACTCGGCATATGATCCTCGAGGTTCATCCATGTCCTAGAATATGCCAAGATTTCCTTCCTTTTCCAAGGCTGACATGTACATGCCTCGTTGTACTGGATGTATATGCCACATTTTCTTCATCCTTTAATCTGCCCCCGGGCATGTAGGTTGCTCCGACCTTGTGTCTCGTGTTAGTAGTGCTGCAATGAAGGTGAAGGTGCAAATCTGTCTTTGAGATTTTGCTTTCAACTCTTTTGGCTATAGTTCCAGAAGAGGGATTGCTGGATCATATGGTAGGTCTATTTTTAATTTTTTGAGGAACTTCCATACTGTTTTCCGGAGCAGTTGTACCATTTCACACTCCCAGCAACAGTGTACAAGGGCTCCAGTTTCTCTAGATCCTCGCCAACACTTTTTACTTTCTGTTTGTTGGGTTGTTTTTAAAATAATAGCCATCCTAACTGGTGTGAGGTGATACCTCATTGTGGTTCTGATTGGCAATTTGCTGATGATTAGTGATATTTCGCATCTTTTCAAATGCTTGGCCATTTGTCTATCTCCTTGGAAGAAATGTCTATTCAAGTCCTTTGCCTGTTTTTTAGTTGGGTTATTTGTTTTGTTATTGGGTTGTGGGAGCTCTTTATATATTTTGGATACTAACCCCTTATCAGACATATGGTTTGCCAATAGTTTCTCCCCATTTGCATCTTTTCATGGTTAATTCTTCTGCCATGCAGAAATTTTTAAGTCTGATGTAGTCCTACTTGTCTATTTCTGCTTTCATTTGCCTGTGTTTTCGTGTGACTCATTAACTTTTATTTCTTTTAGGGTCAGATTTTCATCAGGATAGCCTGGTTGTGATTTTTGTCTTCGTTTCCACCTCAGTGCTCTCTAGCACATTGTTTAACAGGGGTGTTGGCTAATTACTATTGGTTCCCTGATGGGATACTCCCAGAACTACCTTAATTTTTTTGGACTCCTTCCCATGCACAGTAATGGGAGGCTTATGTGTGTGTGTGGTGGTGGGGGGAGGTGTTTCCTTCATTTTCTCTCGTTTTCCCCCTTCATCTCCCCCTTTTATCCCATGTTAGGTGCAGAATCTCCTCGGGGGCATCGTCCTTCTTTCCTCTCCCATCCTCTTTGTGAGTGGTGGTGGTCTCTGAGCCAATGACAGGTCAGCTGACAGGCTGACTCCAGACCAATGAGGCTTCTGGGTTCCTGATGGACCAATTAGCTTATTAGGGACATCATACCTGGATAGCTGGCCTCTGCCCCATTGTCCTCTTTAAGCACCCTCTTGTTTTGCCTATTAAGGATTTGAATATGCAAACGAAACACTACTTTCTTGTGTTTCGTTTTGTTTTTTTTTTTTTTTAAATGTTGGTGGCTTTAATCCATCCCCACAACTTCTGCCCAAGGCCAATAAAGCACAGGCATTCTCCCTTTGTAAAAAGAAAGAGGGGTTGGGTTTCCTTCAATTGTCTGCCCTTTTCTGTCTCCTCCACTATTTTTGTTTTACTCTGTAGTTAACTTTGCATTAAAGAAGCTTCATCTGAGGGCCAGTGCGGTGGACCCAGGCACTCTCTTCTCATTGCCGGTTGCAACGGCCTTTTCCTTGTTCTAACCTGGTGGCTTGTGGGACCAGGGGGCTGGCGGGTGGGAGAAGAGTTTGGCCATAGTCTTCCTTCAGCATTTCACACACATTCTGCGCTCTCTCTCTCTCTCTCTCTTTTGCGCGCACACACACACACACGCCCGCTCGGGCCCCTCTCGGCGTGTCTTCCTTCAAGATGACAGGGCGCTGGAGAAAAGGCTGCTGGAATCAGCTGGTAGGTACAGTAGTAACCCGAACCCCACCCACCCGCTGCCTTTGCTTGCTCAGGTTTCTCCGGTCACTCCAGCCAAGGGAGAAAACATGTAAACGCGCCTCCGCGGGAGGGGCTGGGGGAGCTGGGAGCCGCGGGGGCGGCGGAAGGTGAGCCCGGGAAGGTGGCCGAGCGCCCCTGTTGCCGGGGACCCTTCCCAGTGGTCCCTCGGGGCGCCAGCTCCAGCCCTGTTTGCCCCCCACCCCCCTTTTCGTAGGGATCGCCTTTTTTTTTTTTTTTTTCCTCTGCGGCGGCGGAAATGACAGTGTGGTGCTGCCGCGGTGTCATGGTGCTGCCCCTGGACTAAAGGGCGAAAACTCTTAAGTTTGGCTCGGGAGACCCAGCTGCGGTAGCGTCGCAGCCGCCGTGGTGTCCCTGGCGGGGCGCGCGGGCGGGCGGATCCCGGCTGCTGCGCGGCGGCGGCGGCGGCGGCGAAGGCGGGCGGCGGCCTAGAGCAGCAGCGGCGGCGGCGCGGCGGCCCCAGGAGCTGGCGCCGGAGCCCGAGCCAGCTCCCGGCGGAGGCAGGCGAGCGCCGGGCGCCCTCGGGCGCGCCGAGGAGATGGCTGGCACCCCAGAACGCTATGGGTAAAACGCGCCCCCTCGCCGCGGCCGCGGGAGCAGAGCACCGCTGCCCGCGTGAGGCACGGCCCGGGCTCCGGCTTCGGCTCTGGCCGCCTCTCAGGTGCCGCCGGGGCCCGGCGCGGGCCAAGGGCTCCGGGGCTCGGAGGGGCGGGGTGACGGGGACCGCGAGGCTCCAGGTGGCGGCGGCGGCGGCGGCGGGGCGGGGGCCGCGGGGGCCATCCCTGGCCTGGCCCGGGCGCCCGTCGCTGCCCTCTTGGGACAGAGTTTGCACTCCGGGGTGCGGGGCGGGGGCGGCCCGAGGCCTCCAGCGCCCCGACCGGCCCCGCGCAGGGCAGTGGGGCCGCTCCCCCGGCGCCGGGGCGCGAGTCTGGGAAAGGGCACCGCCGCCTTCCCACGCTCCGGCGGCCCGCAGCCTCCGCGGCCCGGGCGGTGCCCCTCGGCCGGCCCTCCGCCCCGCGGCGGCCGCTGCAGCAGCCGGGAGATGCTGCGGACACCCTGCCGGCGGGGAGGCCCGGAGAAACTTAATCCTTTTTCTGCCAGCGATCCTCCAGTCTCCGTCTGGGTGGTTCCTTATTTCTGGCCTAGCTGTGAAAGCAGCCCGGTGGGGGAGAGGGAAAACTTACATATGTCCGGAGGACAGACTGCAACTGAACAGGGCAGAGGTGGGGTTTTTCCATTCCTGGCTCTTAAGAATTAAGTAAATAACGGCGGAGTGGATTTACAGAAACATTTTTAGCGACGATAGGGTTTAGGTTACTTAGTACTTTGTAGGGCGTTATTTCTTAGAGGCGTTGTTGTTGTTGTTGTTGTTGTTGTTGTGTGTGTGTGTGTGTTTTGGCTTCGCAGAGCAGGAAATTGGGATCCTGGTGTCCTTAGTTTCTTCACTTTCTCTCTTGCACACTCCCCTATCCGCCTTCGCGCTCAGCTCACTTGCCTTCTTCCTGAGTCGTCACACACCTACCTGCCCACCCAGATGTCCCACCAGAACGTACTGCCCCGCACCAACCTGTGCACTCTGCCTGCCGCCCAGCCCTGCAGCCTCTTGCTTCTCAACCCGTTTGCCTTTTTGACGATTTCTGAGTGTGGGGCTAGTGGATAGTGATGGTTGTGTGTCGGTGAGGAGGAGCCCTATACAGGAATATATGGAGACTGTGTAAATAGACAAGTAATGTGTGTGGGTTGATTCCTTGGGTTCTGGAGTTGGGCCATAAAGGACTGCCTTTAACCCTATTCTGTTCCCTCCCAGTACTCTAATCACTTCTCTGGCCATGTTCCAATAGAAGGGGAATGCGGAATAGGGAGCTTCCCTCCCCTCCTTCTGGCTTAACCCCAGCTGATTACCCCAACCCTCAGGTCCCCCATTTCACCCCTTTCCACTCATATTAATTGCCCTAAGGGGGAGACAGTCTTGGCTATTTTTATATATTCCTGCCCAATCAATTAACTTAATACAGATATATAATGTGAATTAGATTTTTCCTGATTGTTCCTCACAACTTGATTTATGTGGTTGAAATACAGGTGTAGGAGTGAGGACGATAAGAGAGTTTATCCCAAATCTGATGTTACATTGGCTTTATGGCCTTAGGACATCCCTATGACCTTTCTTTCATAGTTGATGCACTTGTGTAAAAGGCATAATATTGTGTGCTGGGTATTGTGAGTCTCAGCTTGGTCCTTTGAAGATGAAAGGGTTCTATAAACCCTCAGCATTACGCTTTTCAAATAAAGTACTTCATTTACCTTTTATTGGGATAATAGATTGACTGGATGTAAGGAGGAACCCTAGTTTACTGGAAAACTTAACTTTCCATTATTAGCGCCCCCCGGGAGCCAAATCTGTCACCGTACTCAGGACTCCTTTTTTGTTGTCGGTGCTCCTAATGCCTATACAACTGAATGAAAACATGCATAAAACTAGGCATGCAGAGTAATGGTGATTATTTTAAGTTGAGACTCGAATCATATCTAATGTACTCTAACCTAACAGTCTGAGTCAGACTCATTTGAAGGGGGCGATTGTTTCCCTCCCTCTTTCATGACCACTAAACTTGTCATCTAGCATGTTCTACCTTGCAAGGCCACCCTTGGGAAGCACTGCCACAAATCAGGGTGACTGGGTTGCTTCATGAATATATCATCTGAACAGTGCAAATTGATTTAGATGAAATTGGTTTAGTTAATCCCTCCTCTAAGTGCAGGGCAACTTGCTCCAACTTGCAGATCCTAAAGCCACTGGAGTCTCATAATTGCATCCCAAAATTGCTCTGGGTAGTGTGCCCGTCTGTTCCCTCATCCCTCCTCCCATAAAACCTGCTGACGCCATGACAGTTGAGAAGAAAACTGCAGAAGGAGTAGGTCTTTACCACTCAGCAAACCTCATTGGCTTGGTGAAGAGGAGAGAATGTCCTCTTCGCACTCTGTCTCTTAGCACTCAGATTCTCTCTTTCCCAGCCAGGGTACAGAGCCCTAAACAGGATGTGAGGGCAGGGCTGAGGCACAGAATGTGTCTTGAATGGCCATTTCCAGAGGCACCTGCTTGGCCTCTTGCGTTTCTGTCATCCAGTCTTTATGGATCTTGGCAACTCCCTAGCTGTTAGGCTATGTGACTCCACTGCTAGAAGAGACCAGGGGGTGCTCCATTTCCATTCAGCGTTTGTTTGTTTGTTTTGGTCTTCTGTGCAAAGGGGAAAACGAGGCACTGTGTTTGTGAAATGCCTCCTTACTTCAGCTGGCGATCTTGACTTAGAGCATTGCATCGTCAAAATAGGATGTGGAACAGGTCGATCCTGGATGTACGACAGTTCAGGAGAGTTGCCCGTTGTCCAATTTTTGATGACTGCAACACTGGTACCCAGGTGGCATTACTGTAATCTCTGTACTTCAGGTCTCTCAAAAACCACTGGGTTCATCACCACGCAGTGTAGAGCAGAGACTAGAAAAGTATTTCTCAGCTGGCACAATGGATGGTGCTAACAAGTGAGAAGACTGGATGAGTGGTGTTGAGACGAGAAATTCCACCTCCCGTTATCCTCCCTGTGCAGACTGCTTGCTGGTCCCCTTTTCATTTCTCCTCTCTCCCAAGGATCGATATGTTTTTCCATTTCCATGAATGAAAACTCTGCTCAAAGTCTTGTCGGCCCCAGAGGTCGGTGGCTTTTCCCACTGTTTCTCTTTTTCCATCTTTCCCTTCTCCATGACCATAGGCAGACGTAATCTTTTCGATAGTCCATCTCCCAGCTCCTGCATTTCCCTTAGAAATCCCGTGAGCTGCTCAGGCAGCTAGATGGGTTACAGTGTGGGTGGTGGAGGGGTTTTGAGCAATGTTCCAACACCCCGCCACTCCCTTCTTCACGCGGGGTTCACCTGAGTGCACGCTAGGGTGTTGGTTCAGTCTAAGTGGGTTAGCGAAGTATCATTAGTAAGACTTGTCCTACCTGGGTTCTTGTCTCCCTGCAGAGCTCTGACTGCTTGACCTCGGGCTTTGTCTCAGCCTCTTTCCTGCAGGTCAGACTCCTCTGGTTGATGAACAGCATCTCCAGTCTTTGGATCTTTTCTCTAACAGAGACCAAATGATCTGATAACAAACTCATTATGTAAACTCAAATCCTCCTGAAACCAAAAATCGCAGGATTTACAATTCTCCCGGTTAGGAGCATAACATCTGGCCTGGGAGACGATGCTAATGTAGGATGGTGACATGTGTGAATGTATACAGCCTAGAGATAGAAAAATGGTTTACGATCCAGAATCCTCAATTGCTTTGTCTATAGCCCTTTGTTTGGTGTTGCTAGGCTCCATGTGATTCCCCAGGGAGCAGAAGCTTGATTTCAAATAGGCTTCTGTTCTCTGTCCCTTGTCTCTGACCTGAACTTGGGGTGCTCTCAGCCTAACATTCACCAGTATGCCCTACATACACATATTGCCAGTTTTATTCTGTAGGAGTGGGGAGGGCTGCCCGTCCAGGTGTGTCCCTGAACATGTAAACATTTACAAACATTGTTCAGGGTAAGAGAGCTTGGGAAAAGCAGTCCTAGAACAGATGGAAAGCTGGACTGCTAGCATGAGGTAGATTAAGTTGGTTCTCCATTTGTTCAACATTGTGACTGCTGGTGTGTTCTGCATGAAGATAAAGGTGTTATGAATTGTACTTAGGACTCCTGTCAGTTTTCCTGGGTTACCTTGGCAAATCCTCCTCTTGGTTCCTGAGATTAGTCTTTTGCCTTTGTAGCCAATGTGGGACTTTCAGTTCTGCTATTGTGATATTCACTATAATGTTTATGGTGACTCTATTATATAAAATGGCCAATGGTTGGCTTTAGGAGCTAATTATTGTAAAGAAAACATCTTTAAATCCACATGCTATAAAATATTAAGTAGGC